CCACCTTAGGTGTATGTGGCTGGCGCCTTAGCCGCCTGAGCCACAGGATCCGAGCCACACTCACCTATTTTTAGAGACAGGGCTCACCTCTAGCTCAGGGTGGTCTCAAACTCGTGAGCTCAGGCAATCTACCTGCCACAGCCTCCTAGAGTGCTGGGATTACAGCCATGAGCCACCATGCCCAGCCTTTTTATTTTATTTTATTTTATTTTATGTTTTCTTCTTGAGACAATCTTTTCCTCTGTTTCTCTGTCCCCCAGGCTGGAGTATAGTAGTGTCATCATAGCTCACTGCAGCCTTGAATTTCTGGGCTCAAGGGATCTTCCTGCCTCGGCCTCTGGAACAGCTGGGACTACAGGTGTGCACCACCATGCCCGGCTATTTTTTTTTTTTCCATGACATTCAAAGGAGGAATTTGTTTTTAATTTTGTTAGAGTCAGTTTCTTGGTATGTTGCCCAGGCTGATCTGGAACTCACGGTTTCAAGTGATCCTTCCTTGGCCTCCCAGAGTGCTGAAATTACAGGGAAAGCCACCATACCCACTCTGCTCTCAGGTCTCTCAGTGCATCTCAGTGAGAGATTCTCTCCCAAGGTGGAACAAAGTGGATGCCATCCCACCAAGGGGACTTGGAGGGGTTGGAGCAGCTAGGCTTCAAATGTCACTTTCTTTTTTTTTTTTTTTTAAGACAGAGTCTCACTATGTTGCCCTTGGTAGAGTGCTGTAGCATCACAGCTCACAGCAACCTCAAACTCTTTGGAGCTTAACTGATTCTCCTGCCTCAGCCTCCCAAGTAGCTGGGACTACAGGCACCCACAACAACGCCTGGCTATTTTTTGGCTGTAGTTGTCATTGCTGTTTGGCAGGCTGGGCTCAAACCCGCCACCTCCAGTATATGTGGCTGATGCCCTAGCTGCTTGAGCTACAGGTGTCAAGCCTCAAATGTCACTTTTTTTTTTTTTTAATTTTTGGCCAAGGCTGTGTTTGAACCCACTACCTCTGGCATATGGGGCCGATGCCCTACCCTTTTGAGCCACAGGCACCGCCCCTCAAATGTCACTTTTAAGTATGAGACCTTGAGCAAGTTATATCTCTCTTTTGACTTTGGAAAACAAAAATCCCTGACATCAACATTCCCAGAATTGAGGGGGAAATGAGGCAGTGAGAGCATCTGTTGTTGTAAGTTGAGTGTGGTTCCCATTGTTGTTTTTCCCTGTCCCTCCCCCAATTTTACAAGCCCCTCTTCCTGAGCCTTCCTTCCAGCTGTGCTCAGACAAAAAGAGGGGAGCAGCCTTGCATCTGTGGAAATTTAATGGCAGGTTTGGGATGATCAAATTTGAGTCATGCAGACAGATAATGATAACCCCCACGTCTGCGCCTGACTTTGTGTCTGTATATACCTTGTTCCATGGGACTTTCTGGGCCATTTCATGGGCCCTGTGTGTTTTCTACCTTCTTGTCCGTGATTGTGTACCCCTGAAGGCAGATGGCAGAGCTTACACCAGGGTGGCAAACACTGGAAGTGGGTCCCTACCTGTGTGTGGCATTTCCACCACAGCCTCCAGAGTTAGGTAAAGCAACTGAGAACTGAGAAGACAGTACAACCCTCTGGCTCTGGGTCTTCCCTGAGCTCAGTGTGTTTGGACTTTGTGCACACTCTGACCAGGCATAGTGGCTCCTGCCAGTAATCCCAGGACTTTAGAAGGCTAAGGCTGGAGGATCCCTTGAGGCCGAGTGTTTGAGACCAGCCTAGGCAACAGAGGTACCCCTGTCTCTACAAAAATAGAATCTGCATTGCACTCAAATGTTTATAACAGCTCAATTCACAATCACCAAGATGTGGAATTAACTCAAGTGCCCATCAATTGTGAATGGATTAATAAAACTGTCATATATGTATGCCATGGAATCCTATTCAGCCATAAAAAGATGGAGACTTTACATCTTCTGTATTTACCTGGATAGAGTTGGAGAACATTCTTCTTAGTAAAGTATCTCAAGAATTGAAAAGCAAACATCTCACGTACTCAATAATTTGAAACTAATAGATGAATAATTATAGGCCCACAAGAGAGAAAAACACAATTAATTCAATTCAAGGAGCACGAGGGAAGACAGTGGGAGGGGGCTCAGTAAGTTCCCAACTAACAGGTACAACGCATTGGTACCTGGCACACCTCCTGGGTGAAGGACTTAACTACAATTCAGACTTTGCCTAACAAATGCAAACAGTGTAACCTAATCATATGTGCCCTTATATTAATCTGAAAAATAAAATAAAATGTGCACCTACCCAAAATTCCCCCAAATGTCCCTGCTGGTGGCTGCAATGTACATATTTATTCCCTAGGAATTGTTGTGCTGCCTTAGGTGTGTTTCTCCCAGATAAGATACTGGTGACTTAAGAGGCTGGGCCATTGCATGAGGGATCCTGTGCTCTGGGTATCCTCTTGCATGTATCTGGTTCTGGATGAGTCATGGTCTGAGTCAGGGGACCCATGGCATTATAGGCAGAGTCCCTATGTGGGCATGTTTGTGCCTGCTACCTTGACTACAGGCCCCACAGGCTGAGGTGGGAGCCTCTGAGGAGATTAAGGGGTACAGTCCATTCAGACAGCCAGGCCCTAAGCCTTGTAGGCAAGGCATGAATCTTATATCACCAACCCCAGTCCTACCATTTCTTATCCCAAAGAGTTACCCCAAAGCCTTTGGGGACATAGGGACCGAAATTGTAGGCATGGAAGTATCAGAGCATTTGGCAGATGAATGTGTCAGAAGGCCAGGATTTCCCTGGGCCTTCCTCGGGAGATGAGTGGGAAGCCAGAGAGAACAGGCTGATGGCCCAGATGCCTCCCTTCCTGCCCCAGCTTGTGCCCAGTTACAGGTTATCTGGGTGAGGACAGAAGGCTCCCAGGGATTTGAATAAGAAGACAGGGAATGACCAGACTCAGTAGTTCATACCTGTTAATCCCACAGGTTGAGGAAAGATGAGATAGGCAAGTCACTTGAGGCCAGGAGTTAGAGACCACCCTCGGAAACATAGTAAGACACCATGTCTACTACAAAAAACTTTTTTAATTAGCCAGGCATGGTGGTGACACCTGTAGTCCCAGCTACTCAAGAGGCCAAGAGGCAGTAGGATCTCTTGAGCCCAAGTGAGTTATGATTATATCCCTGCACTCCAGCTTGGGTGACAGAGCAAGACCCTGTATCTAAAA